CCTGGCCCGACAAATTCTGGAGCTCAGTTGAAGCACGCAAAGCCTGGCAGGGCGTGGATCAGGAGCGACTTATATGGAAAAAACCCTGTAAAAAACAGGTTTTTATCAAAACCAACGCACTCCGAACTACACTCGGCACAGAACGATTCATGATCTGAATAGAGTAGAAACGCGAAAAGAAACTATCAACTAAAACTTCAATTTCCAAGGAAATTTTCCAGATTTATCAACTATCTAAACAACGTTGGCCCAGAATGGAATCGCTGAAACATGCAGCAAATACCCCAGGTGTATCATTAGCATTTTTATGTGCGCTGATGTGTATTTAGTTGTGCCGTAATGTCCTCTTTTAATAATGCAACTGCAATGTTGGCCGATTACCGGTTCTCCCATAGGGTAAACCGTATGTATTTGCGCTACCCTTATTTGCCTAAGGCGATTCTTTCTGCGACCATCAAAGACGGTTTACGTTCAACATTATGGCACAGTAAAGCCTGCGTTCTAAACGTTACAATGTAGAAGCATTATCTGGAAACTTTATGCGTGCCAAAACGATCGGCGGTTATAACAAACCGAAACTATATGTATTAGTCATAAAATCAAAAAACAAGTTTCAGTTTTGGGCAGAAAAGTTGCTGTTCAACTATCCAAAGTTGGGGGTGTATTAAATAGAAATCTTAATAAAATGTATGTGATTAGGGTCGAATGAGTACGGATAATAATTTATGATCGCTCATTTCAATTCAGGGGTTAGTTGGAATAACGTTATTGATTATTTAGGAGGTTAAGTGTATGAACTGAAACTTTCGCTAGTTTCGGGTTTGGGTACGCAAAGTCATTAATATGGGATAATGGTAGTATTTGTTGAAAACGTTTATTGCATGGTTGGCTCCATATCGAAATGTTTTTAGATAATAATTCTATTTTTGTAACACTCTGCCAATTGCGAATATGGTTTCTTTTAACTGGTTTTGTCCAGTTGCTCTGCTCTCCAAAATACCCCCAAAGTTTAAAAATTAACTACGAAAGAAGCAATAGCTTAATATGGGACTAAAAGTTCTACATGCAACTTGGGGCAAAGTAATGCTAAGTTTACCGAAAGCTGCGTAGTGCCACCTGAAAAAAAAGAAGAAAATGTGTTTAGTACAGCAGAAAATCTGTCCAAAAGCAAACTTATTTGCAATCAACAAAGCAAAGAGAGAGAAATATAAAGAATCCATAAAACTTCAGTTGCTTGTGGGAAAACTAAGCTCAGTTCAAACTAAAAGATTTATAGATTAAAGGTCATTCTTGCCAGCTTTCTGCAAGCTGGCGCCCTATCCTCCATTTAACCCTCAGGAAGTTCACTACACTTTCACACGCTACCGGAATTATTCCATATTTTCCATCTAAGAATGCGATAATTGATTGATTTTGTCTACTGTCGGTAGCAAACTAAACATTCATACAGTTTTTCGATAAAAAAGACACCGAACTACAGAATAAACCGGGTTATTTAATCATTTTTTCGCTCTTGCGATTTTCGATCATTCATGTAGCCCACAAAATGCACTTCCAAAGAGTAACAACTTAAGGAGCAACTGTAGGGTGATTAGAAGTGTACAATCGGACCAACGGTTCAAAATGTCCGAAGGAAAAACAATGCGATTTAGGAATTTTTTAATACCATCTAGGAACATTGTTTTAACTTGGTCTATTCATTCCCCAAGTTAAAGATTAAACCTGAATCACCCTGTATGCACGTTCTTAATTCTGTTATTTTCCTACTGAGTTTTTAAGTACGTTTTATTCAATGCTCGTAGCTCGCTCTCTTTATACAGTGACTAAATTATTTTTCAGTCAATGTTGTTATTTGATCATTTCTTAGTTTTCCGCCTGCTGAATCAATTGTATTTTGATCTCCATATTGCAGGGTTTTAAAGTTTCACTCGTTTTAATTCTTGCAAAACAAAATTGTACTTATCTGCAGTCCAATCGCTTTAACTTTACTCGAGACTGAGACCCACATTTCCTATATTTTTATACTTTCGGTTGCAAAAATTGATAATATTTTGAACCAAACTGCACCTACACGTACACTTGTACTGACAATAACTTATGAGGGAGGTTTGTTTTGTTGGCCTGTAAATTGAGCCTCAATTGCTTGGAAAATGAGTGTTGCAGCTTCCGCTGGTCATCAGGTTACTCAACGCGTAGCAAAAAAAATGTCTGTATTTTTTTTAGAAACCTGTAGTTGAACACCCAATAATAAAGCGACAAGCTTCTAAACGGTTCGGAAATTTATATAGAAAAATTTGACAAAAGAGCATAAATAACTTTCTGCTTCCATTCGAGACATTTACCTGCTCGTTTGAAATCGACTTTCATATAATAAATTCAATATCCGCACTGCGAGTGGCCTTAAGTGAAATATGATTTTCGGGCAACAACGCGACTAAACCAGTCAAGGAGAAGATAAAGCAAACCAACCAAATATGCGGAAATAAAGCCCTTTGCAGACTAGACTTCTCCAATTTCGGGCACTTAAAATTCAGCAAGAGCCACCGTAAACCGAGCAATATACGTGTCGGGACGAGTGGCTCTATTTATTGCATATAAATAAAATGTAAAACAACATAATCCGGTTTAATTGTGCTAAATTTCCAGGCGGCAACAGAATGCTACGAAGCATTAGCGCCTAAGTTAAAAGTTGGAGAAGTAATTTGGATAAATGCACTTCGAATTTGCATGTATTCCAACTCTCTGGCAGCGGCGCAACTCCTTGATTAACGAGATATGGAAACAGCATGTATGGAAACTGTTAACTTTAACTTTACAGTGTGATAAATGACTATACGTATAGCATATGATCAATCAGCCTCATCAATTATTTGCGAAAAAATATACATTACCTAAGCATTTCCTGATATTAAGCTATTTTTTTAAGGTTTAAGAAACATAGAGCACAAATAGCTTACGGAGTAATCAAGCTGTAACTGCGACAAGAAAAGTGGATTTTTTCAAATCCCCTGCTCGATTGATTCATTGAGAAACGCTTGACATTTCGGAACTGAAGCGGCAATTAAGACATAAGGAAAGCGAAAATGTTATTCATTACCTTTTGTAAGGAAATTTACGAGTTCCCGACTCGATTAAGGCCATATTTTCATATCAAAGGTGAGAGTAAACAGCACGTTTTATTACCCTAATTGGTTGCCGGTTCACCCTTGAAGACACAAGAAGAAAGTCAATAGTATTTATTTCCAAGAATGTTTTACTTCCGGGAGTTGGATGGATTCGTTGATCAAAAGGAGGGTAATTGAAGCGGTTTGTTTTGGGCGATTTATTTTCGTGTCCGAAGCCGGCGAGAGTGAAAGGAAAGGTGGCTAATTAAATTGATTCCAGCCAACAATCCAGATGTTGCAAAATTAGTCGCTCTACTTTTAACTAAAGTATGTACATTTTTTTTTATTGGACGACCAGATTTTACCCAGTGTAAATCACAACTCAGAATTTGCCCCTCAACCCTAATTGAAAATTGTTCCACAAGGAAAGCAATTAAACAAAGAACGGTAACTTTTGCAGTCGATTGCATAAACAAAGCAAAGGAGAAAGAGAAGATAAAGATTGGCCTGTCGTTTCTGCAACTGAGATGAAATGAAAGTTTGCGTCTGATCTTAGGATGCGGAAATTTTTAACGCTAGAAATGCCTTTTGCCTAATCAGCAACCAAAAACACCGAAGTTTTTTTCTAGTTTTACTGAAAATATCCATAAGTCGATTAAGTGAAAATTGCTATGAAAATGTAGCAAAATGTTGGATTGTTTTTCGGGAAATCGGCAGGAGTTGAAAATCAATTTTGCTTGACTTTCTAGTTGATTTGCGATACTCTTTGAGCTATTTTTGCGGAATTTTCAATTCGGATTCCTTCATTTCTTCTAGCTTCTAGTCAACTATGGCTTACAGCTTGCAAACGGCTTGAAATATTTTATTTCTCGTAGGGACCTTTTGGAGCACGAAAATTGACAGAGTAGGACTTCGCCCCCTTTGGGAACTAATTTTCATCAATTAAACTTTAAAGAGATCAAGTTCATCAAATAATCTTTAGAGGCAGAAGCAGAAGATAATCGAGCCAAAATCAAAAATGGTCAAAGTAGCTTGCAAGTTTTGAGAAATATTTCGGCTGACACTTTTTAAATTGATCGTTTTTGCTAAATTTGCAACGTGCAAAGAGAGACATTGGCAATAGAAATAAATAAGCAAAAAATGTAAATTTCAACAGCAAAGCAATCTGGAAAACGATTGAAGAAATATGTTGAAAAAGGCCAGAAGCGAACGAAAAGATCCGAAAGAGTTTAAAAGTTCAAAGCGAATTAAATAATCGAAAATATATCAGAAACACAAAAGAAAGAGAATCGAGCTATGAACAAAAAAAAGAAAATGTTTTGATGTTGACTAATATTCTGACGCTTTTTCCCCATGACAGAAAAAAAACATATTCTTTAATTTATCATGTTCATGTAGGGCTTGTCAGCGTTAGAAAAAAGCCCCAGTCCACCTGGCTTTGTTCCGGAGATGCGTTTGTGTTCCTCTAATATCTTTCATAATTATTTCCGCTAGTTGTTTCGCCAAATTACAATGCCAGGCAGCTTTTAAGCAAAACAAGACACAAAACTCCCTTTTCGCCACCGCTTTGTCGTCTTTTGCCTTTTGCAAATATACTACATTCAAAGGGAATTGTTAATACGGTTTTGCTGTAAATGTTTACTTTTCAATGGCTGTTGTTCTGGCAAAAACGTGTGTTTCTCTGTCGCATGTTGTGCCTGAGGCGTTCCACTATCGGGGACATTTCCAAATTATTTTCCACAGTTTGGATGCTTACGAATTCCGTTTCATGGGGGGATTTTAGTCATTTGGGCGCTGAGATTTTACTTGTTTGTTGACTCCTCTTTCAAGTGATTTCACGGGTTTCAAGTATAAAAATGTGTGGTTTTTTGTTAATAAATTTTATATGATTTTCAGATTTCACAATGGCCCCGAAAAGTTGAGCGACGCAATGAGGAAAAGCATGTCCAAAGACCCGATCGCCCCTATTTTATGGGAGCCCCATTTGGTGGCGCTCGACAGGCGAGTCGACATCATTTTGAAAGGAATCAGAGACTGTTTGCAAAAAGGGGAAGATCCTCTATTGGATAGTAGCGATAAAATAGAGGACGCCTAGCACAGATTGTAACAGTTTTAGTGAATTGTTCAGTGTAAAATACCCGTTCTGATAGATTTTTGGGGTACCAGAAGGAGTTTTCCATCATTTATCAAATACTTCGTTTCCACGTGGAAAGATGACATGGTATTTGCTCAAGGCATTGTCGCAGTTTATTAATATCAAGGGCTTTCTTGATTTTTCAATGGATCCTCTATGGCTAATCAACTGTCTTTCAAAAACAAATTGAAATTATGAAAATTGGTTAGCGGAATAAAACAACAAAGAAAGCCGATTTAATGGGGCCCAACTGCTTGGAAAAGCACGCCATAATTAATCAAACATGTAAAAGGCGACTACATCAATGAGTGTTAATATTGAACACTAAATTAATTTTCAATGGAAACGTAATTCAGTTATGAATTAGCAAAGTTATTCATTGCATTAGGTTACTAGTCTTTTTTAGGTTGGTGCTGCGTATTATTTAATTGCGGTTTTATTAGTAAGATTAATTATTTAAGTATTGAACAATTTGTTGATTAATTGTTAAATTGCATTGGAATATTCTGTGCGCCCTAAACCCACATAAAACTGTAAGTTCAGTTGAAAATGAGCAAAACACTTCGAATCCGCTGCTTTATTAGAGCCCGCATTATCATTTGTTGGGCGCCAAGAGTTTCCAAATTAAACATTTAAGATAAATAAGTAATTTTGTTTACTCAACTTCAGTTTTAAAAAGTTGACTTCTCACTGACTCATTTTTTTAAATTTAATTAATTTGAAAATAATGTTAAGGCTGAGGTTTTATACATTTATTGGATACTTTATTTTTTCCTGTATAATATATATATAATTCCAAATCAATATCAATTCCTGGGCTTCAGTCATTTATTGTCTATTTATCAATTAAAAAACGTTTCGGTGTTTTCCACCATCATCAGTTTCAATGTGTAGCGTTGTTGCTACACATTGAAACTGATGATGGTGGAAAACACCGAAACGTTTTTAAATTGATAAATAGACAATAAATGACTGAAGCCCAGGAATTGATTTTGATTTGGAATTGAAACACAGTCAGGAAAGAATGTACAATATATATATAATAAATTGTAAAAATGTACATATGAAACATACCAAACTACCTGTACCCCCAAAGATTTCTGTTTCAAAATCATTGAGATTCTGAAATGAACTCTAGGGAAACGACAACTTCGGTTGAATTCTCTAGCAGAAGAATCGTAATAAACAATGTATAAAATGTAAAAAATGTACATATGGTACAGAGACTGGTGGACAAAGACCGAATACCAAAAATCGAGTGTAAATATATAAATGTATTATTTTAGCGTTATGTGTATGAATATTTGTTAATTATACAGGGTTGTTCGCGCTATACCGCAGTTAAGACCCGAGCAGAAAAAACTGTGCTCGGCCACATTCTTTCTCCCTTGTATAGCGTGAATAATCGTGCAAACTCAATTGAAGCCAAGTTGACTATTATCATGTGATCTATCAATAAATTATTACTCAATATTTTGGCTCTTTTCCCTTCAATCCAGTCCCAAACCCGCTACTCGAACGGACAATATTTTGGAATAGTTTTGTAACCCAAATAGGAAAGAAAAAATCCAATAGGCATGGAATCTGGGAAGAAGCTGACACTGAACGGAAGTATTTTCAGTGGCTTAAGTAATAAATAATGAAACTTGTGGGCACAAAACGAAATGAATACACCTTATTCGGTTAGAAAGTCACCAAACACCACACGTTACTTATAATTCGATCAATTTGAGTGCGTCAATGTTTGCTTTTCCCTTTACGTGCCTCAAACGAGCCTCAAATTGAATTTGCCACAGACCTTTAACCCGCTTAGATGGTCCAAACAATAATATTTCCCCCTAGCTGAGGCTGTTTATGTCGTCTGCCGACGACGACTAATAAATTCCTTAATCGAATTAAATGGAAAAACGCGCAAAAAATCCCGATTGGAAAAACACACCGGATATTGAAATGTTTATAGATCAGCCTCAACACTTAATTAATTCGCATTAATCGCGATGAAAGTGAATATGATGCAGGCTTAAAGGAAAATCCAATCAAAGGGGATGCAAACTTGTGTTATAGTGTGTATGATCGGGGTTGTGGTTTAATTCAACCCCGATCATACACACTATAATACAAGTTTGCATCCCCTTTGATTGGATTTTCTTCAGTGTGTACACTTTTTCTTCTGCAGCTTCCACAGTCAAAGCGAATGTTTGCTGGCAAGGTTTTATTATGAGGCATCAACCGAGCTACCGAAAAAAGCGAATATTGAAGGTAATGTACAATGCAGAGCTTAATCGCAATATCTGGGAATTTTTGCCAAAAAACGGTTGATTTTATGGCATAAACCCTTATCAATACGTCCGTACCGGAGACTGATATTCGCACCGTTAACAGCGATATTAGTAAAACAATTTATCCGCACGGAAATTGTTTTTTGGAACAGTCCCACTCTATATATCTACGTTATTCACGCTGACCTCTAGCCCCGCCCGCATTAAACTTCTTTATCTGGCCGAAAACCAGATTCCAGACCGTTTTGCCTCCTAATAACATAAATTACGGGGGTAATTTAACTTGCAGCCCCCGGAAAGCGTCCGCTCGCGAAGTTAGCACCCTGTGCAAAGAACTTCGAGAGCCTGCTGGCGCTTAATATACAACATAACTTGTGTTCTTGCTGTATGAGGAAATCTCAGATATTTGCACTTAACGCCTAAACGGTCAACATGCATAAAATTAAAATTCGATCGGGCCATTCAATTTATTTATTTCATGCAATTAAATTAATAAGTTCGTAAGTTGTTTGAGAACGCAATTTGCTGAACAACCGGATAAAGTTCGGCAGGAAAATCTACTTCCACTTCCTCGCCCTTTCAGCAGGCTCTAAAGTTTGCATAATTTTTAAAAATTCATCAATCCCGTAGGACCCAAATCTACCTTTAACAAAAATGTCTTTGTCGGACTAATTTGATAAATCAATTTTTGAATTTTCGAAATTTGAAATTTTGCCCGGTTTTTAAGCTCACCACTCAAAGCTTAAGCGTCTTGCAAAACTGCACCAATACCTCATTCATCCTACTAACTAACGACTATTCGTAATTTGTCGATCAAGCTAAACCCATTAAAACTGTGTATAGACAGAATGATACCAGCTGGTGATAATTTTAATTACAATTATATCTAATCGGCGGTTTTGTCAATAACAACATCACTAAAGTGTAGGGTGTCTCTGTGATGAGTGCGTGCAATCGATAGTGAATAGTTATTGTAAAATGGACTTTACAACGCATTTTGCCATTGAAGTAAGTTCAACGTAGCATGAAAGTTTCAAATTGCGAAAGAAGGTTTTCGTCTGTTATCTAGTCTCGTGGCGATTTTGCCTATAAATAGTCCTGGACGCAATGTGAACAATAAACATTTTCTGGCTTGATACGTGATTTACATGTAGAAAATTCGCATCAAAGAAATATTTAATTTCGAATTTACCAGATGCAGAAGCCAAAGGCGCGCCTTTCATAAATGCAACCAAAGAATAATTATTTATTATTAATTATTAATAAAAAATTCCGCACCTTATCCGGGTGAGCCAGCGCGATTAAACGGAATAGCTAGAAATATTGCTTCAGGTCCTTAAATGGGTGAAAAAGCGTTAAAATAACAACAAACATTTTAGAATTCGCTGGTTCTTCCACCAGTTTTTTGTTTTAAATCGTTGGATTGGATTTCATCAAAAAGTTGAGAAGTTTTACAAAATAGGAGCCAAAATGCCTTGAATGAAAATATTTAAATAATCTTTGGGTGGTTATCGACACATCACCTCAAAAATTGGATCTTCCAATTCGAAAGTTCGTAATTTTTAAACAGTTAGAAGAAAAATATCAAATTAAAAAAAACCGTCGAAGTTTACAATCTGAGTAACCATTAGAACTGATAAAGCGAAGAAAGTCTTAGGCATTAAATAATTAGAAGCAAAACTGTTAATTTATAAAAAGCCTGCGAAGTTTAACCTTAGCAGAGATTTTAAAAATAGTTGAAAATCACTGATTAGTATTTTGTAATTTAGGTTTTTAAAAACTGTTAAAAAGTTAGAAGCAAAAATTTCCACTCCTAATCGGCGGTCAAAGTTCAAGAGCGTATTACTCGAACGCGGTTAAAAATATCAATATAATCATTAATGGATTTTCAATAAATCGAGAAATAAAATTTCCTATTTAGGATGCACCCGAAATTTCAAAGTTTGAAAGAGTTAGACGAAAAAATGTAAAATGTTAAAAGGCGGTGAAACTTCAAGAGCGTGTATCTCCAAAATCAAAATCAAAATGATTATTGGAAACTTTTCGATAGATCGCCTCGAGTACAAAATTTCTCTATTTAGGCTGCATTCGATATTCGAAAACAGTTAAAATATCAAAACGATTCTTAGAACCTTTTCGATAAATCGCCACTAGTTGTTCCTCCAAACACGTTTCTATTTAGTCTGCATTCGACATTCAAAAGGACGTTAGAAGAAAAAATGTTAAATTTAGAAGAACGGTCAAAGTTTAGGAGCGCGTATCTCGAAAACAGTTAAAAATATCAAAATTATTAAACATTTTCGATCGATCGCATCAAGAACTAAATTTTTCTATCTAGGTTTTATTTGAAGGGCCAAACCTTTAAAGAGTTAGAGGGAAAAACTTTAAATTTTTAAAGACAATCATAGAGCAAGAGCGTGAAACTCGAAAACAGTTAAAAATAGTCAAACTATCATTAGAACCTTTTTGATAGAGCGCCTCGAGAGTTTACATTTTTTATTTAAGAAGCATGCAAAATTCCTAACTTTTGAAAAGTTAAATAAAAAAAGCCATATTTAAAAAACCGCTAGTTTTCTTTCATGTAGATGGATTAATCTTTTAAAACACGAAAGCAAAGTTTTAAAACCGTTAAACACACTCTTACATTTCTTAGAATTGTGGCAGTGGTAACTTTTATAAGATCAATTTTTATAGAATGTTCCAGGCGCTATTTTCTGCAAATTATCAAACAAATACAACCAAAATGTGTGATACTTTTCCATAATAATTGTAAATTGTTGCTGATAATGTTTATATTAACCCACATGTTAATGTTTCGAGCGGCGCAAACCCGGAAACTAGCAAAAAATGTGCATAGTAGTTTTTTTTGCAAAAGATTCTATTTTAAATTCAGCTTTAAGTTGTATTTGTAACTTGGATTGAAAAGCTGATTTAAGCGCGTTGATCACCGGTCAAGTGCACTGACTAAATGTGCACGTAAAGCATTGACTGCAATAGAGGGATCAGAAAGAAGTAGTTGCAACTGAAGATTTGAATCTTCAAACTTCCAAGTGAGTATCTAATAAGAATTTTGATAGACTTGGCCAAGAATGGGAGGAATAAGAATTTAATTGAAAAACTTGAAGCGACTAAAGCACAATCTAGTTGGCAATTGTGGATAATTTCCAATATTTTCACGGTTTAAATTTTTAGGCAACATTCTGGTGTTCAGTATACAAATATTTAAAGTAGTAGTTAGTAAATTTATCTTTAAACGGTCTATAAAAGCACACTCCCAAGAGAAATCTCGGTTTCAGACTGCTGCTTTATGTCCAGATATAATTTACGTTGCTCCGACGCAAAAACACATTTAACAAAATTATTCGGGAAAATCTTGTGCCAATAACGGCAAAGCGTCTTTTAAAGAACAAAACGACATCCAAAAGCCTAAGAGACAATCTGAATGACGACGGTTTAAATGACGGTCGTCCTCTTGAGGCTTATTGCCTCCATCGTATATGCGTCAGGTCCTTTTCTTTTATTGTGCTCCTTTCGTATTCGTCAAATTAAAGTCTGATTTAAAGCAAAATGTGTTTCGACCCGGCCAGATAATAAACGGAGGCAATGACATAAACGAAAAAAAAAATAGTCGCCACTTTGCCTTTTGTTTTACCGCCCATGTACTCTGTTTTATTTCGATTGAAGATTTGCCAGTTGACAAACGCAGATGAGGGATTGAGCCGATGGACAGATTTATCGGGAAACAAATTGCCGCCTCAGTCATAAAAATGGATAAAAAGAAAAAGGAATAATGATCGACATTCAAATAACACAACATACAAGCTTGATGTTTTGGACCACCAATAGGGTGTTTTCATTATATCAAAAACTCCTACAAACTGAACATTAATCTATGGTAATATATATGTAAAAGACTAAATAAGTATATACTATCTATCGATTGCTAGCTTGTTAAATATTTAATAAACAAATTCAGCTAAAATTCAAATTATTCATGAATCTCTAAAACGCAATCCAATAGGTTGTGACGTCTCTGGTCATATAAATGGCGGATTGTTTACGTTCTGTGCATAGCGTTTAGTTGTGGGGTTGTGTTTTATTAATTATTTTGGATATTTAAATAATTTATAGTTTGTGTCAAACTAAAAAATGGCTTCAGCAGGATTCCTTAAAGCGTCCAAAAAACAGTTTACCATGTGTACATATTTTTATCGTTACCAAATTTAAAAAAAAAAACGCCGAACGCTTTAATTCAGCCGAATTTAAGGGTCTCAAAGCAGCAGCGTAAGTAAAAATCCGTAAATTCCTTATTAGTTATGCTCTCCTTAATATACTAATCTGTCAGTATTGGCTTAAATTAGGCAAATAAAATATAGAATTTCACTAATTCAACTTCACCTAACCTATACACACGGCTGCTTTAAAAGTAAAATGAACTCTTTGAAATTAAATTTATATTTTGGGCATCACGAGAACAATATAGTGATATCGAATATAGATATATGGATTTAGGCACATCACGCCTAGCTGCTTTGAACCATAAAACTTTTCGTGTATAATCATAAGGAACGGTTAGAAAGAGTTTGCTTGGAGCACTTATTGAGGTATTCTTGCATCCTGGCACAAAACTCCACTTATTTTGTGATCCATACATGTCACAATTTTCCATTATGCAAGATAATGATAACAATCAATAAAATAATGATAATCACAATAACTTAAATAATAAAACAAAGCTGCGAAAACAACAAAATAAACACGAGACACTTTGTTGATATGACCTGCTACGTCACAATCGGGATAGGCAACCGACTATACGGATTCGGCGTTTTTCGCGAAAAATATCTGATTTGAATTTAAATTCGCTTTAAAATTATTATACTTTTGTTTGCCATAACTACTTTCTATATATCAACGTTTAGACAAAAGTGAAAACACCTTATTATGCGCGGTTAATCGACAGGTGTTTATTCAAAGAGGGTGATTTCAAGAGAACATTTTGAAAAAGGCCCCCTGTTAGGGCATGCGTGTCTTCAATTGGTCATAAAGTTTAAAAATGTACTTCATCGACCAACTGTGTTCGAGAAATCAACAATCAGACTATTTTTTCACTAGTTTTGCAAACGACTCGCGTTCTTTATTCAGAGAATAATTCATCAGAATTATAGTAAACGACTTAAAAAATCATTGATTGAACCGGTAAGCGAACAACTGCTGACTCTGCTGGTGGGAGTAATGGTCGCTTCCCCATAGGTTTTTTAAGGTATTTTTGTCATTTTTCTATAGCACCTAAAATAGCTGATTTAAAAATGTTTCTCCCGTTTGCTTCAAGATTCATTTGCCTCACCGGCTGTTTTTTTTTTAATTAAAATAAAGTTTTGCCTTTTTGTTGGTTTGTCCTGAATGAGTTATTGTACACAAATCGCCTAAGTTTTCATAATTAGTACCTTCTTGAGGGCCTAAGTGCATTGCAAACAGTTATTCGACCGCTAAGAGTAGTGCAAACATGCAGTTACCTTGTACTCTTTCCAGAGGCCTTTGACGACCCTTTTAAAAGCGCAATTACTCAATACTAGCTTACCTTGAGATTAAATTGAACTGTTATCAATATCTTATCTCTGCAAAGTGATTTTCCAGCAGTTCCATTTTAAATTATCGCAAATGTTTGAGTCAGTAGTTAACAGATTCGGTTGAGAAAATAATGTGCGTTTGAAAACAATTCCCCAAACCGGCATATAAAACTGCTTCTGCTGCTGTTAGTGACTAGTAAGTAGCTTAATTTCAGGTTGGTGAATAGATAAGTAATGAGAGATAAAAAGTTGAAAATACGCTCTGGAATTTTCCATTGGACGCATATGTTTGCAAAAATGGCAAAGCAGTGAACTTTAAGGTGGCAAGCGATGAACTAGAGGGGATTGAAGTGGCTGCTTAACATGGCCAAAGAGGCGATTTCGATTTTTAAAAGGCTTTTTAATAGGCTGCTTATTTATTTAAAAATGTAATTTTAATAAAAAAAAATCGAGTTGTCGGATCGAAAGAGAATAATGCTGCAAAAAAACTAAAGTAAAAAGTTCCAGCTTCAAAAAGCAACGACTGATATTGAATTTAATGTCTGGAAGCGAAGAAATCCAAACGAACCTGCCTTGAGGCTCAAATGCGATTTTTAGTGGATTTTACGTTGGATTCTGATAAATAGTGCTTGCTTAATGAAAGTCGTAATAATGCGCGAATCGCGAAAATTGCAAGAAAGGCATTAAACATCTGAGATGAATCAGCAGATAAAAAATATTCGAACCAAGAAATCAACATAAGCGACTCAATTTAAATCATTCTATGAAATTTAATGTGCTTTGGAGCTAGTTTCATTCAATTACGGTTTTTTATAATTGGGAAACTTGAAGAAGGAAAATATGGTTTCTGACCCTCCCAGCAGGGATATTTGCGTTATAAAGCCGCACGAACGAAAGTGCTCAAAATACTTGTCTACTGATTCTGTTGATTACTGATTCCACTAAGAAAATTACGACGTAAGAAGATCACAAATATGAATTTATGAAGTGTTTGTGTCAATAATAAAGAAGAACTCGGCGGCTAAAGATCGTGAAATCTCAAAAAACGATTAAAATGTGCCGAAAATGTCTATTATTTCGGATCTGAAACTTCTACCATGTTTTTCAATCAATTCGATGCGTTCCTCGCGTCTGTGAGCTGAAAATGATGTGAGATTTGAGACATTTTGAAAAAAAAATTGAAAAATTTCGACCAAAAATCAAAATTTCACATGCGTGTTTTTTGAGCTCAATCGCTTCCTTTCGACGTAAGAAGGTCACAGATGTGCATTTATAAAGCGTTTGGGTCAATAATTAGGAAGAGATCGTCGAATAAAGATCGTGAAGGCTCAAAAAACGCTGAAAATGTGCCGAAAATTTATATTATTTCGGATCTAAAACATCTTTTTCAATTAGTTCGATGCATTCCTCGCATCCGTGAGTCGAAAATGATGTAAAATTCAGGGCATTTTGAGAACATTTTAATTTTTTCAAAAAATCGGCCTCTACCCTTAGAAAATTTTCGGCCAAAAATCAAAATTTCACATGCATGTTTTTTGAGCTCAATCGATTCCTTTCAACGTAAGAAGGTCACAAATGTGCATTTATAAAGTGTTTAGGTCAATAATATGGAAGAAATCGTCGAATAAAGATCGTGAAGGCTCAAAAAACGCTGAAAATGTGCCGAAAATTTCTATTATTTCGAATCTGAAATTTCTACTAAGTTTTTCAAAGAGTTCGATGCATTCCTCGC